TCTAGAATTGTAATATAAAGTACACTTAAACTCAATATAAGGCTACGAAGTGTGCAGAAATAACAATAAAAACCCTTTAATTAAATGATCAGTGAAGTACCTAACTTTTTAATGATCAAAATTCTACTATATCTCCCCTTCTTTGAAATTTTGATTTCCAAATGAAAGCAACTCTAATTTGCTATGTTTATTGCTAAAATTTACCACAGCTCACTTGAACTCTTGCCAATACTTCCTTTTTTCACCATCCATTATTGAGATTCCTAGATAATTTTGAGTTCTTTTCACAATCTCGCTTGATAAAATACTTTGTCAAAGTTAATTATTGATAGCAAGTCATTATGACGTGATCAAACTCTATTTTATTTTTGAGAACTTTTCACCTGAGCTACAATCACTCTCCGTCTAAAAAGAGTGGAATCAAAACTTTGTCTTCTCATACAAGAACTTCTACTTTCTCAACTGAAGTAACCTTGCAGACTCGAACACCTGTGCTGCCGACAACGGTGGATGCGACCAAATATGTGAGGAAAAGCATGGAAAGTTCTATCGATGTAAATGTAAGCATGGATATCGTCTGGGAGACGATAAGAAGAAATGTCATCGTAAGTGATTTCACCTTTACCTTAGAGATTTTTGAGTCAACTCCTCCACAAATTGTTAATTACGTCATTTACTTCAAAATCAAAAGCTTAAATCTAGTCTCTTGACGTTTAATTCAAAATTAACTCTAGTATACAACTATTTCCGGACCTCTCAGTCAGTCATTTTTACTAAACATCCAGACGGCGGTAGTACAGCCGTTAACTCTATTATGTGCCTCTCGAGCATATGTCGTGTTCTCAGTTGTAATTAACAGTGCTTATGAATGCAAATCACCGTTGACGTTGAACAATGCCTTGTGCCTCTCTCCGCAGCAACGAAACAAACCTTTACTGGGGAGACCTGAATAAACAGTTGCTTAGGCTACGAGGTGTATTACTAAAGGAAGTAATGTGCAAAAGTATCAGCTTTAATATGGCTGGGTAGAATTTCATAGGGCTGTTCCAAAAGTTTGGCGTTCATTCTGAAAATGGGAAAAAATGGCTTACTGGTGCAACATGCTTTTAAATGGCATTATACATGGGTTTTTTTTACTCTATTCCCATTTGCAATTACGGTGTACGCCTTTTATGAAATCGGATTTATTCCAAAATATTTGAAACTAAATCAAAAGGGGAGGATTTTAGTGTTCGCAAAAGTAAAGAAGATTTTAAAGCTAAC